CAGGCACGCGCGGCAGAAGCTGTGCTCACACGCCAGGAGCACTGGGTCCTCGAAGGGGCCCCCGCACAGCGGGCACGTCGCCAGCTGCTCCAGACGCTCCACCAGCCCCGGGCCCAGCTCGGGCGCCTCCATGGGTAGCCAGCGCCCAGGAGCCGCCCCTTCCGCGACCCCCGCCGGCGCCTTCGTGCGCGCAGAAGGTGGGCCGCCTCGGCTGCTTGCTGAGTCGATGCCCCTCTCTCCGCCTCCCGCATTAACTTTCGGACGCGCTTCTGCCCCTCTCCTGGGATGGCCTCCCTCTTCCACCAGTCACGGGCTCCGCCAATCTCCCCACCACGTCAGGCTTTATAGGGAGGGAGGAGGCCCCTGCGGGAGGTAAACATCAGGCCTTGCGCAACACCTCATCTGGTTCTCCCGCTTGCCGGGTGAGGTTTGGGGGAGGAAGTGATGGGGGAGGAAAGGACACCTGAGGTCCTCAAGCCCAGGAGGCAGCTACTAGGGGATCTTTTGGGGGGGTAAGGTAGCAAGATTTGGGGAGGTTAGCCCTCTGTCACTCCCTGAAAGGCCCGAAGCTCATCTTCCCCTCTGCCGGGGTGTGAGGGTGGGCAGGGTGCCCAGGCTCTTTTGGCATTGTGTGCCCACATCGCCGGGGTGTGAGTCACTCCAGGTGTCTGGCACACCTACATCTGGGGGCTGGGGGCCGGAAGCACGGAGCCTGGTTGGTGTGGCTTTGGCAGGCAGGCTTCTGATGTTGGTGTGTGGCTCTTTCCAGGAGCCTCTCTCCTTTCCATCTTCCTGCCTTGCCTATTAAGGGCTTAAGGACACTCTGAAGCTTGGGTGAGGGGTGGGGAGTGTGCGCCCGCACTCCTGCCTCCAGGAGTCTGGGTAGGGCTCTCTCTGTTCCGCCTCTGGCACACTCCAAGGGCCTCTCGGTGACTTTCTTCCGATGGCTCTCCTATTGCTCTCTCTCTCTCTCTCTCTTTTCCGTGTTTCTCTTTTTCTCCTTCTTTGGAATGTCCCCAAAGGTTATCTATTTCGATTCTGGTGGCAAACTGAGGCCCAGAGAGCTGGCATTATCAAGGTCACACAGCCAGGGAATGCTCAAAAGGAGCCTTATCACTCCTCCTTTGTGCTCTTGCTGTGATCCTCTGTTGCAGATCCCTAGAACTTCCTTCCACTTTCTGATTTTTCTTGTGCTTCCTTTGTGCCCTCTTTCCTCACTCCTTTTTCTTCCTTCCCCCTTCTCTAGCTTCCTCCCTGACTCTCCCATTTTTAGCTGCTCCACCTCTCTCCTGCTAGGCCTTTCTATCTGGAAACCCTTGGGGATGTTAAATAATTAAACATCCAGATGTCTGCAACGATGATCATGCGTACACACCATTGTCAAACGTGTGTGCAGCGTCAGGTGGGCCAGAGCGCAGCCCTCCAGACAGACACGCTCACACACCACAGCTACACTGGGATGGTCTCCTACTCCCTCCGCATCACTGGATGAACACCAAGATTATTTGGGGACAGATAAACATACTCGAAGAAAACATGTAGGAGACACTCTGTCATTATTTTTATTGTCCACGAGAACAACACTACAATAGCAGTGAGTCTTTATGGAGTAGTAGTACTTTATCAGGCACCCCTCCAGGCATCCTTCTCCCCCCATACTTATTAGGGAGACACTCAAATATGACACCCTGATAAACAAGCCTACACAAATAAACACATGTCCACGCGTTTTGGAACAAAGCTCCCAGCGCAATGTGCACGAAATGTGTGGTTGCCCAAGTAAAAGACGACAGATACGACTGACATTTGGACTGACATTTGTTTCTTAAAAGACAGACTTCTAGGATAGAGTATGAAGAATAATGGCCCCTGCTGTGTCCATAGTTTAAATCCTGGAACCTGAATATGTCACCTTATGTGGTAGAGCTAAGTTTGCTGAGGGAACGAAGGTTGTTAATCTGCTGAGTTTAAAGTAGGGAAATTACTCTAAATTATCTCAGTGGGTCCAGTGTAATCATGAGAAATGTAAATACACAGCCTAATCGTGGCAGTGTTGAAGGCCAAGGAAGGGGTCATGAGCAGAAGTGGGTGGCTTCTGCAGCAGCAGAAGGTAAGCGGTGACCTCTCCGCTAGCATGTCCAGGAGGAAGCCAGTGCTGCTCACACCTTGAATTTAGCTCAGTCAGGCCCATCTCAGATGTCTGAACTACAGAAATTCCGTGCTAGGAGGCAAAGATAATACGTTGTCATTTCATACACTTCAAACATAAGTTTATATAATTTGTTACAGCAGCAGTTAGGAAATAAACATACATACTTTCCCTTGTTCCCTCTGGCTTTCTAGGACTGTCTGTGTTTGGTTTTGCCCCTTTCAATTTTTTGTTTTCTGGATTTCTCTGCCTTCTTGTCTATTCCCTTTTGCCTCTTTTCTTTTGAGTGGCTTCATGTTCGTGGCTCCCTCCCCCCACACCCCAAAGCCTGTTACATTTGGGTTTCTTCTGGATCTGGGCCTGCAGTTTTGGAGAAGTGGCTCTGAGTCTCTTGGGAAGCCTTATATTGTCACCAACCCAAGTCCCTTGCTGTGACCCGCCAGGTCTTCTCAGGAGCTATCATCCTTGGTTGCATATTAGAATCAACTGGGGAATTTTAAAATCCCAATACTCAGGGGAGACCTCAGGTCAAATAGACAGAGACTCTGGGGGTGAGTCCCAGGCATCAGAATTTTTTTTTAAGATTTATCTATTTGTGCATATAGAACTGGGGTACAGGCCGGAGGTGCAGGGGGCGGTGAGAGGATTCACCAGAGACAGAGTGGGGAGCAGAACAGGCCAACCAACAAGTACACGGCTGAGGGGAGCAGCGGGCCGGTCAGGAGAGGCCTGCCACGCCATGTGGTCACCTCCGGGGCAGGGGATCGAACTCGTGCGGAAGTGGCTTGAGCTTCTTAGTGCTGTGCTCCAACCCACTGTGCCACCAGGGAGGGCCAGACATTAGGAATTTTAAGTGTATTGCAGGTGATTATAATGAGTGGCCAAAGGAGGGGTCCTACTTTACTGGAGGCCGAGCACAGGCGCCCCTGCCCTCCCTACTTCAGTGCTTGCGCTGCAGCCCCTCCCTGCCGTGGGCTTTGTTCCTGCGCATGCGCAGACTGATCTTCCACCAGGCCTTTGCACTTGCTCTTCTCTCTTGCTCCAGAGTGTGACATGGCTGTCTCCTCTCCCCACACTTCGTTGGGTCTCGACTCAAGAAATATGGTCAAAGGGCCAGATTCAAAGAGGATTTCTTTCACTATTGTGTATCTCCAGTGTCTTCTAAGGCATGTGCTATCTCTTTACCTGAATGTGTTGTCTTCTGGTACTTATCAGTATGGGAAATGATCTATTTATCTTTTTTTTTTAAGATTTATTTATTTATGCTTACAGAACTGGGGTAGAGGCCAGAAGTGGGGTGTGTGTGTGTGTGTGTGTGTGTGTGTATGTGTGTGAGAGAGAGAGAGAGAGAGGATTCACCAGAAACAGAATGGTGAGCAGAATAGGCAGCTCCACTGAAATACACTGCTGAGGGGAGCGGCGGTGGGTCAGGAGAGATCTGCCAGGCCATGTAGGTCAGCTACCTGTTCGGGGATTGAACTCATGCTGCAGTGGCTCCCCAGAGCTTCATAGTGCTGGCCTTTAACCCGTTGTGCCACCAGGGAGAACCCTATCTGTTTTTTGGTTTTTTTTTTTTTAAGATTTATTTGTTTATGCATACAAGAACTGGGATACAGGCCAGAGGTGTGAGGGGTGAGAGAGGATTCACCAGAAACAGAGTGGGGAGCAGAACATGTGCATCTATTGAAGTACACTGCTGAGGGGAGCAGCGGGCGGGTCAGGAGAGGTCTGCCACACCATGTGGATCACCTCTGGGATCGGGGATTGAACTCACACTGAAGTGGCTGTGGCCAGCTTGCAGTGCTGCACTTTGACTCGTGGCCCCACAGGGAGGACCCTATTTACCTGTTTCGATATATTTGTATTCAATAGGAGCAGCTTTCAGGAACAGGGACCAGGCCTCTGCACTGCTGCTTTCCCTGCATCTGGGACAGTGCTGGCACTCAGGAGATCTCGAGGACTATAAACCCAGAAATTAAATTGCCTATCACCAAATGGGCAAAGGGAAGAAGGGTCCCTTGACTGACTCTGCTTAGATTTTTTAAGTGCCAAAGACATTCTTCTCCTTCTCAGTCAATAGTCATTCCTCACTTCCAGGCACACTCCCAGGGTGCTCACAGAGTATGAGACATCGCATGCACCTGGCTCGAGAAGCTCATGCTATAATTGTCACTTGCCTCCTATAAACAGATGACGGGAATTCCTGCGAACAGTCTCAGGCCAGCCTTATACCCAGTTTCAGGCCAGCCTCAGACCTCGGTTACCACGAGTTCACACCTAAAGCTTCTAGGACCTGTAGTCCAGGGAAAAGGCCTTTGGAGACAGATACAGCCAGGAAGTATCTCATTTCTCAAGACTTTCTCCCTCCCTCGAAAGAATCCCTAATAACTCTACACTTGATCCTTCCCATCTCCAGAAAGCTGGAAGGGTGGAGATGAGATTTGGGGTGTTGGTGTGGCTTGGCCTGCTCCAACTGACCATGAATAGATCCTGCCTCTGTGTTAGTACCCCGTCTTCATACGGGTTCCTCCCACATAACTGTCCCCACCCTTCCCCAACTCCTTCCAGGATATCTACTGGTTGTGGAATGTTGCGGCATGATGTCCCTGCAGCAAGCAGAGGTGAGGTAGGCCTCAGCCATGCCTCTTTCCTTTCTTGTCTTTTGTTCCTTCCTTCTCTTGGTTTACTTACCAGTAGCAGCTGCATCCTTTAAAAGAGTTACAATCTCTAGGAGTCTTCAAGGGTGAGAGATAGGTCCTGAAATGTGTTTAGGGAGTGTGAGAAGGGCGGGGATGTGTCTCATCAACCAAAATCTGCCATAGATGAATTAGGGGGTGTGATAAAGTAAACACAGCATGTCTATATCAGTCCAAATCTGTTATTACCAGATTTTAAAGGTGCACAGAGCGGAGAAGAGTGGGTTGAGGATTATGTTGACCACCAGAAGGAGTAAGAAGGACTTTAGGAAGGCTTCTCAAAGAAGGGGATTTGTACACGAAGGGTGGGTTCAGTTGGCTGGGCAAGAAATGAAAATGACAAAGAAATGACTCTAGACAAAGAATGTGGGTGCCTTTGGGGGAGAAACTGGAAGTAGGAAAAGAAGACCAGGGGAGTCTGAGACACAAGTAAAGCAGCCCACAACTTCTTCCCAAAGATGTTCTTCAACTCCATAGCTTCTGTAACAACTCATTTTTTAAAAAAAACTTTGCTGTTTATAGTGTGCTTTAACAGATCTAGAAGTTCTGTCGGAACAGGGCGGACTTCAGATGTGGTTGCTCACACTCTGGGTAAAACACTGACTCTAGGTGAACACCCCTTGAACACCCCTGTTCCATGGGAGGGCGGTGCCAGGATCAGTGGGTCAAGGGGGAGACAACAATCCAGGTGCTCAAAGACCTGCATGGGTCTAGGAATGTCACTGTCCCAGCCTGTTTTCTTAGTTAGTCTCATAACAGATGTGGGCATAAGTCCCAGTCATTTCACAACAGGACCCTGGGATTCTGTCACACGAAGTGACTTTGCCCAGGCTCAGACAGATGGCTGGAGGCTGAGTCCAAACTGAAATGTTCACCTACTTTCTTCAAATTCTGAAATTTTACTTCTCTTCTGAGACCTTTTTTTTGTCCCTCTGGAATGCGCCTTCTCCCCTGTTTGATTTAAACCTCTTTTTAGGACTAAGTTTCTCAACTTAATACCGGACGCTCATTTGTTCAATTTCTTTGGGGGAATCTTCCATCGATACAACGAATTAATCTTTAACCATCTTTTATTGATTTTTTAAAAAGATTTATTTTAGGTATTTATACACACAAGGGATAGGGTGAAGGCCAGACCTGGAGGAGGTGAGAGGATTCACCAGAGACAGAGTGGGAGCAGAACAGGTGGATTGACTGAAATATACTGCCGAGGGGCGCAGCAGGTGAGACAGGAGAGGTCTGCTGTGCCATGTGGGTCACCTCCCTGCAGTGAGCTGGTGATAGCTTCATAGTGCTGAGACTTAACCATGCGCCACCAGGGAGGCCCTTTATCCATCTTTTAAATTCCCTCTTGGCATCTTATTCCCCACCACCTTAGCAGTGTGCTCATTCATCTAATCTTTTAATCATTCAACAATGAATTACTAAGCACCTACTGTGTGCCAAGCACTTATCTAGGAGTTGGGGTATAGTGGTAAACAGGCCAGCCCTGGTCCATTCCTCTGGAAATTTAGATTCTATTGGGAAAGACTAACAATAAACAAGTAAACAAATAAATTAACAAGATAATTATAGATGTGATAATTGCTCTGAAGAATATAAAGGGGTAATGTGAGAGGCATTACCTGGAGGAGGTGTGCACTGCTTTTAATAGGGTGCTAGAAAAAGCTTCTCTGAGGAGGTGACATTGGAGCTGAGCCCTGACTGATGAGAGAGAGCCAGCAGTGAAGAGAACCAGGGGAGACATTTCCAAGCAGCGGGAACAGCAGGTACAAAGGCCCTGAAGTGAAGGAAAAATCTTGAAGTGTGATGCGCTTGTTCGACATGAGATTAGAGCGATAGTAAGAGCCAGACTGCAGGGACCAGGGTAAGAGTTTGCTCTAAGAACAGCAGCATACCCCTGAAGAACTTTAAGTGGGGGAATCTATGTGTTCTAATTTATGTATTTAGATACTCTGTCATCTAGTCTTTCCATTTCTTTCTCTAACTCTCCTCCTCCCTCCTTTTCATTATGAAGGAGAATGTAAAGATCTTTCGCAAATTTTCATTCAAGGTGCGCATCCTACTTCATGTCCACTTCCCCATTCAGGGAAAAGATCCTTCCAAACAAATTATTTGTTAGCCCGAGTACAGAGGTCTCTAATGAATATACTAAATATAGCTAATTTTACTCTGGCTCCCATCTCTATTATTCAAAGAATCATGGGTATGTAGAATAATAAAGTTGATAGTAGTCTATTCTTGCATTATCGGTAAGAGTGAGATCCAGAGGAGTTACCTAATCTATTCAAGATAACTCCTGTGCTGTGCCCTCCCTGGTGGGCAAGCATAGCACTATAAAGCTATCCACAGCCACTGCAATACAAGTTCGATTCCCCACCAGGGAGCTGACCCACATGGCCCAGCAGACCTCACCTGACCCACCTGCTGCTCCCCTCAGCAGTGTATTTCAGTAGATTCACCTGTTCTGCTCCCCACTCTGTCTCTGGTGAATCCTCTCATGCCCCTGCACTCTGGCCTATACCCTAGTTCTTGTATGCACACATAAATAAACCTTTAAAAAAAGATATCACTTGTGCTAAGTGGGAAAGTCTGCCTAGGGAGGGGTCTTTACCCCTTAAGAATACAGAATCAGTGCTTCCTATCTCATAGATGTTTTTTTCAATTAAGGAGGCACTAAATGACCACTCAATATATGTCCAGAGAGGGGGCCCTGCTTCACAAGGAATAAGAAGGAGCAAATGGGGCCCTCCCTGGTGGTACAATGGGTTAAAGTACAGCACTATGAAGCTATTGCAGCCACTGCAGCACCGAGTTCGATCGCCAGCCAGGGAGGGAGGTGACCCACATCCTACAGTAGACCTCTCCTGAACCCCCTACTGCTCCTCTTAGCAGACTATTTCAGTAAATCTGCCTGTTCTGCTTCCCAACCTGTCTCTGGCAAATCCTCTTATCACTGCTGCATATCCTCTGGCCTATACTCCAGTTCTATATGCATAAATAAAAAAATCTTTAAAAAAATGGAACAAATGACATGCTCATGGCCACAGTTGAGACAATAGTGAGCCTAAGAGTCACTGTCTCTGGGCAATGTAAAATTGGAGTGGGAAGGAGGGAGGAACAGAACAAGCCCCTGGATCACACAGTGATCTGAAGGAAAGTACAAGTTGATAAGAATCGTGTTAGGTCAGCCTCAGTGCAGGAAGCAGAAATCACTCTAGGTATTTTAAGCAAGAAGGAATTTATTACAGGGAACTAGGTGACCAGAAAATTATTGAAGGAGCTAGAGGATTAGAAGGCAAAAGTTGCTAACCGGATTCTGGGCCTCAAGGTTAGACACAGGTCAGAAGTGCGGCCACTATTGTGACATAGTGGCCTCTGATCCAAGTGTCCCACCCACGACCTCTCTTGTCTACTGGAACTGACTGGCCCTCTCCCTACATGAAAAAGACTTCCACCCCCCTTTGCCTTGCAAATTTCATATAAATACATCTAAGTGGCAGGTTAATTCACGTACAGAGACTACTTTCAAAGATGTCTGAGAAATAAAATTCTTTTACATTCCAACTTCTCCAAATAGAAAATAAAGTTAAGTTACATATCTAGAGTTGCCAGATAAAATATGAGACATCCATATAAATTTGAGTTTCAGATACACGATGAAAATATTTTGTTTAAGTATTTCTCAGTATTGTATGGGGTATATTTATACTAAGAAATGAATAATTATTTACCTGAAATACAAATATAAATAAGCATCTGGTATTTTATTTGCTAAGTCTGGCAATCATACGAAGTCCAGCACAGAGACTGGTCTGGGATCTCTAAGTAATGGGGGATTACGGACAGCTTCTATGAGGAGATGACATTTAAGAGGAGACAAGAGATGGGTTAGAGTTCATCCATCATGGGGCTGAGGAAGGGCTTTTGGGCAGAGGGAACAGCACTGAGGTAAGAACTGCTTGGCCAATTTAAACAAAGTTGTGCATAGTGAACTGGAGGTATAGACGGTTCACAGTGCATGAAGATAGCAAGAGACCAGATCATACAAAGTTTTGAGATTTGAGCAATGGGGGCCCTCCCTGGTGACTCAACGGATTAAAGCACAGCACTAAGAAGCTATCCACAGCCACTAAAGCATGAGTTCCATCCTCAGTCAGGGAGCTGACACACATGGTGCAGCAGACCTCTCCTATCACACCTGCTGCTCCCCTCAGCAGTGTATTTTAGTAGATCTGTCTGTTCTGCTCCTCACTCTGTCTCTGGTGAAGTTTCTCATCACCAGCACCTTGGACCTGTACCCCAGTTTTTGTATGCACAAATAAATAAATCTTTTCCAAAAAAAAAAAAAAAAACAAAAAGATTTGAGCAATGGAGTAGGAAAGACCAAGGACCACTGCATCTCCCAGAAATGTATACAATGGTTGCCCTGAAGAGAGAAAACTACTCTCGTGATTTAGATGAGAGATGATGATGGTATAAACTCGGGGGAACCAATGGGGCTGGAAGTGATTCGGCCAATTTGAAGTATATTTTGTGAGAGAGCTGACAGAAGTGCCGTCGTGGTCATCAGTGGGGAAGGGAGAGGAAAATCAGGATGAATCCCTGGTTTCTTAATTGCACAACTGAGAGGATGCTATTACAGATGTGGGAAAATCTAAGCTTTGGGTGTTGAAACGTGATTACAAGAGAGGAGGTGAGGGCAAAGGGATGAGATATTTTGCTTCAGTCACATAACAGCGCATAACCACTGCCTCCTTCTGCAGAGTACCTAACATGCCCTTACCTGCCCTTTCTTCTCTTCCCTGCTGTCTTCTCACCCCTAATTCGATCCTCCTCACGCCCCTCCTTCTCTTCCTCCTCTTCTCATCATTGTATTATCTAGATTCTTCAGAGACTCAGTCAGTGACATGGACAGAGTGCAGGAAACTAGAAATGGAAAGGTTTTCCATGATCCTCTGGTCCACAACTTCCCCATAAACTTGGTAAATCACTGAATCTCTTTTCCTC